AAGATCTCATTAAGGGAAACATATTTATTTCAGGTTGATAAAATCCTGGATTGAAAGAGCTAGAAGAGACTTAGAAATGATTTTCCCAATATCTTTACTATATGGAGATCCTGAAGCTGAGAGGAAAAGCCATTTTCTGAGCATACTCTAATGAGTAATCAGAGATACAAATTCAAGTAAATGGCTTGTAATCTCATGTTCCTTACATCACATCCTTCAATCTCATGAACTCCAGTCTCATGTTCTTTGTGTAAATAATATTGTCTATTTTATCGTGGTTTTAGGAAAAAGGAATGGAATTTATATTCAGTTATCTTAGAGAAAATTGTTATTTGCAGAAATGGCCACTTCTGCATATTTGTGGTATACTTTAATTCTATGTATATAGAATGTGTGTAGAAGAAAGTACACTTGCAGATTTATTCAGCATATAATGATGGGATTAGTGATTAAAACATGAATTCCAATGCCTTGACTTGCATGAAACTAATCCAAAGTGGCGGTTATAAAATGAATAGTTGCCAGCTATTATATTATCATCTCTGGATCCACTTTAAGTCCTAGGGCTTTAAACAAGAAAGTTGCCAGAACTCCTGTTGCTACGGTCAGTGAAAACGAGCTCTTAACAAGAATATTTGCTTATGTTCTAGCCATTATTTACAGAACAGATCTTGAGGAGTTGGCCAGGAAATGCCACCTCTTTTTCCAGCCACAGGCTATTCCCGTGCATGCGGAAGAAGCAGCTGGGTGAACCCCAGCTACAAGGGCTTCCTTAAGGACTTCTGGTGGGGCTGCTCACCGTCAGATTAGCTGTCTTAGTTCATTTTGTGTTGCTGTTATACAGAATACCTGAGGCTGGGTAATTTATAAAGGAAAAAGATCTTTTTACTTCATGATTTTGCAGGCTGGGAAGTTCAAAAGCATAGCGCCACATCTGGCTGGCTTCAGGTGAGGGCCTTGTACTGGGTCAAAACATAGCAAAGAAGTGAAAAAGTGAGGGAGCCTGTGCAAAGAGATCACATGGCAAGAGAGCAAGCAAGAGAGAATCTAGGAAGCTAAACTCACTTTTATGGCAATCTGCTCTCTAGTAAAACTAACCCAGTTCCGTGAGAGTAAGAACACACTCAGTCCCAAGAGAGGGTATTAATCTGTTCATGAGGGATGAATAGATTGTTTTTGGATTCTCATGACCCAAACATCTTTATCTAGCCCCCACCTCCCAACTCTGCCACATTGGGGAGCAAATTTCAACATGAGTTTTGGTGAGGAAAAATCACATTCAAAGCATAGCATTAGCTTTTACCTAGAAGCAAAAGATAAGATTTTAAGAAAAAAATGGAATTTGATACTGTCATTTTTATGTCAATGTGTCAAACAAGACACAATAACACATCAACAATGAAAGCAATAATTAAAATCTATAAATTAGCATTCCTTGTATTTTTTTCCTTACTTCTATCATAAAGGTATCAGAAAAAGGCATACACTTTTGCTTTAGAAGATGATTGAGTTAAATAAGACAAAAGCATAAATAATGGGCAAGAAATTACTTTTAGTGGCTTGCATACTTTGGAAAATAACCAAAAGATAAGGAATGACATTTCAAGAAAAATAAGAAACTTGACCAAGAGTGCTTCTTGGTATCCCTTCCATAAATGGTATTGGGAAAACTTGATATCCATATGCAGAAGAATAAAACCAGACCCTTATACCATTCACAAGAATCAACTCGGAATGGATCAAAGATTTAAATATAAGACCAGAAACTGTAAAACTCCTAGAAGAAAATACAGAATAAAAGCTTCATGGTATTGGTCTTGGCAATGATTTCTTGGATATGACAC